AAGATCTAGTAACTTCTCCACTGTCTGTCACACAACAAGACAGTGACTTTAGCAACACTGTAACAGATATTTATTACATCACATAAGGGCTTTAATGAACATAAAGAGAAATAAAAAGCCAAACAATAAACTGTCAATCAGGGAGGCTCACTCTGCTGAGCTTCATCTGGTTAAACCTCATCACTTTGCCTTTCAATTCAGCAAAATTTGGTGAATTTGGTATATTTCCACCGTCTATTGTATAGACACTGTGTGATCAGCTATGATTATATTGTATATGAGTTCTTGCAGAATAAACCTGCAGGCGACAGGACACCTGACCATGTCTGAGCTGGCTTACAGTATGTCACCAGTTTTCCCCGTCCACACTACAACATAAGAGCTGCAATTCGCTCCGCTGCTCTCTCTTGCTTAAGACACACCTTCAAGCAGGTAGTCCTGTTATAATAGAGATTAGGGATGTCACAAGGTACCGAGTCGATGCCAAAATCCTGACAACCTGACGGTACTTGTTTTTCTACAGTACTGTAGGTACCAGGGACACAGTTCTTCCGGATCTGATGGGGGCAGCGTATACGCCATACACAGAAGACTCATCTGTAATGAGAACTGTTTTTGCCTTGATATCAAATCAAACTGACCTTTGACCTGACTCAAAATGACCACAACCCACAAAACTATAACTGTGACAGAAATGGAGGGCAGTGCGAGTCCAGTCTGCCTGCCCGGCAGGAGAGGGACTTTGTGGTATGCTGGGATTTATAACTGCACTATGAGCAGGATGCACAGACTGTCTGGAAGTCTGATGTTTTCTCATCACAGATGATGAAGAGAGGCATTACATTTTTTTTTCATTTCTTACTTAGAGTTAGACTGTGGTATCAAACTGGGTATAGAGATTGCAAATCCCTGCTGATGTGCACAGTCAAACTGAGTTAAGTTAAGCCAGCACATATCAATGGAAAAGCCCTAATAGTCTGTTGGACTTCAATATTATATGGTTGATCTTGTGTAAAATTATCTCTCTCTCTGATAAGACTGTGCCCCTTAAAGCATGACGCCTCTGACTCTTTGAATAAAAACTGGAGTACTGTTGTCCTAGTCTCTCCATTACCTCCAACAATAACAGTCCTTAGGATTGTAAGAAAATACCAGTACCACCTTTCAGAAGCCACTTACAATAAGACAACATACCTCTGACACTTTATATTCACATGTGAGCTTCTTTCCCTTTACGCCTTCATTCAGCGTCAGAATGAAGCCCATGTAGTCAGCATACGCCTGGAAGAAGGAGAGCTGTGTTGAAAGCTGGAATGTGTAGTCAGACAAACTGCTACAAATACTAAAAATCAATAATAGATATTAATAGGAATATACATACAAAACTGATACTGATCACAATAAGGTAAATGTTCCATTGTAATGGACTACAGACAGAACTCTTTCACACATGCACTTCAAGAAAAACTTAATAACTTCATTTTCCTGGCTTTTAATTAGACTTATCTTGGAACAAATCTGAACAACCAGGGCTCAGAATTCAAAATTTCCTTTATTCTATAGATATTTGAAATCACCCTCTGTGTTTGGACCAACGACATATAAAAGATGGACGGTGCATCTCCACTTCCTCCCACTGTACAATGAAGCCAAAATCTCCCGGATATATGGCCGCTGCCTTCTTTCTCCAGAGTGTGCCCAGTAGTGATCATAGTTGGTGCCACAGTTTCGAGGTCCCGCCCATACACCCTGCCAACTCAATCACAAGCAGGGCTCAGCTGTCAATCATGATGTGAAACCCGCTTTATATAGCTTCAAATAACTCATTAAAACCAAACTGATCAGAAAAATGAATTGAACATCGGCTTTAACAAACATCAGCCTGATAAGAACTATCTAAAATGACAGAAACCATCTTTGGGAAAATTGTATTTGATGTCTTCTTTTTTTTAAGTTTGTCCCATCTGCTAACATGGAGACAGTGGGCTTTATGACCTGTACGAGGTCAAGATGTTTTGGCTTCACTTTTGGAGAGCTGTCATGTCGTCCATCTTTATTTATGTTGATAGTTTGGACAGAATCGGTTTTCCTTTTTGTTTTATTCAATGGTCGAGTCGCTGTTTGTTTGTACTTCTGTTCTGCAAACCGCAGTGCAAATGTAAACCTGTTTCTGACAGCAATGGACATTTCCATGCGCACACTGAACATTAGACAAATAGGGTTAAGGTTAGATATTTTCATTTAGACAAATAATTACAAACTCACTACAGGGATGTCACATATATTAAGGAAAAACTTAAACTACGAAGGGAGGAAGAAGATCAAACAAACTTTTTCAATATCTACAAGCTCAAACAATCTATTTACATATAAGATAAGATACAGGAACACCCTAATCCAAAGATCCGGAAAGAGCGAGAGAAAAGGTCAAACAAACTCTTTACACATTTACAAGCTACAGGAAGACCATCATACCTACTGACTGCCTGCCCACAGCACAAGAGGAGAGGGAGAGACCCTGGCTCTGTGAACAGCCGTGCAGCATGCACAAATTACAATATAATATATTTAAATATATTTATTTTTCCTGACCGTCTGAATCAGTCGCTGAATTTGTCGCTTTTTATGAATAAGGTCTTTAAGAGGGTCTATAGCTACCTAACCATTACTGCGGTGGGGAGTGGTAGTTGTGGCTAGTTGGATTGATAACGTTAGGCAGGGAAGAAGGTACCTTATATGGATATCGATCTTAGCGTTTTGACATTTGTTACAATAATTTGACATATTTGTTACAATAGTCAGAATTAGAATATTTAAAAAAACAGACCAATTGGTCATTTACCACATACCAAGTAATTTTTTTATTAATTTATTCTTGAACTTGTTTTTTCATAGGTATTTAACATTACTTCAATATTCGCCTGGCATGTGAACATCTTGGTCCTCTGCACGTCCAGGGAATCTATGTAAAGTGTACACTCTTCATAAAGGCTTGCACACCCAGTTTTCAAGTTTGCCACTACGGTTGGAGCAGCTGATAGTGGCACGGGTTCTTCCCGATTTCCTAGGCATCGTTGTAAAAGTAACGTTTTTTTAATGGGAAAAGTAGAAAATTGTACACTTCTTAGAACAGCTTGCATTCGAACGCAACCGCAGTAATGTTGAGACTTTTTAACTTTCAGTACTTCCCCAAATGTATGTATGTATGTATGTATGTATGTATGTATGTATGTATGTATAACAAACCCTTTATAGAATTACTAGAACCAAACTATGTGTGTGAACAAAGCCTAACCATGTTCTTGGTGTGGTTTGGTACTTTTAGTACAGAAAACCGAAGGTCAGACAAAAAGAGGAGATTTTGAAACACAGCCACAGGCAGCAACCTACTTGGGAGCGCTTCCACTTGCCCATGTCAGGCACCATGCTGATTTCTTTCTTGGGTACCATGAAGGTGCTGCCGGCTGTGCCTTCAGGTGCTTCATCCTCAGGAGTGGATCCTAAATATGTTAGAGACAGTCTTCATCTTAATATTAATGCTGGTTAATTCAGAGATAAATCCAGTGTAAATATGCAGAATACATCTTCTTGGTTTTAGCAGCTAATATTAGTTTTTAAATAGGTAAATTCAGTATTCACTGAATATGATCATCTTCATTTTATGCTATTTACTATAGATTAATCAGAGAAACTGATTTAAACTTAAAACTTAAAATATGTGGTATTTTTGGAGCCTTACATACAGGGACTAAAATTCGGAATACCTCGGCCTCTGCTGCTTCAATTTTGACAACTGGTGTTTAACCCTGCCTCTTGACTGAAGCAGCGATATAAAAGTGAAATACTAAATTGCTGCAGTGGCACTTTTAATCAGAATTTAGCTCCATTCAATCAGTCTTTGTGCATTGTTGGTTTGCACTGTGGAGTAAGTGAACCCTCCGACTTTTAAATAAGAGTCTACACTGATGATGTTATTAATAAAGGAGTAAAAGGCTTTGGCGCAACATTGAAAACTCAAAATTCACTCTACGTGCTAGCTAACACCTGACTGACAGTAAAGCAAGTGACTGAGGGGTTTATTTTAGAGTTTGACAACAACTGCTTACACACAACACAGAGTACGACTTCAAGTTGGCATTAAAGTCTGAAACAAGCCCAAATGGCAGCTTATGTTATTCAAAATGTTCATGGATAGCTTTGCCCGAGGACAGCGGTGTTATACCTCCTGAGTTTATCTAATAAACGTAAAGTTAATGTCTTAAATGTGCATGTTTAGTAGCTTTTAACACAAGAGAGCAAAAGCGATACAGAAGTTTCTAAAGCGAGCAGGAGCATTCAGCGGTGCTGCTTTACCTGACTGCTGCTCTGTTTCCGCCATGGCGAAGCTGACACTCTTCTTCGTGGGTTGTTTAAGGCAGATTAAAACCAGCCATAGCTCCTCACTGCCCCCCGCCGTTCGGAATCTAGGTGACATTGTGCTGTGAAGCCGAGAAGCCTCCTAAATAGTAATAATAGACCTATTTTCACTTTCTAAAACTTTTTTGTAATTTTTTTTAAAAAAGTACTGGAAATATCAAACATAAACATGCACATAATGCATTTAGTGCAGTTTATCTCCTCTTTCAAAATCATATTATACAGGTATTATATATTATAAGGTTGTTTCCATCAGTATTCATTTTTTAAAAGTCTTTATTGACAAGTATAAGTCAAAAAAATATAGAACATTAAGGCATCATAATGAAAATAATAGTATAACAGAACATTCAACAGGACTATACATTCAACCTAGCAGCAGGAAAACATACAGAAAGACAACAACAGCATTCAAAATAATAATAACATGGACTTTTTTTATTGTTTATATACTATATTATAGACTTAAGTACTTTTTAAATTCAATTCTAAAAGGTTCAGATGATTACCAGGACCTCGAGAACTTGGCATTATGGACGTGATGTTTCCCCAGTCCATCAGTATTGATCTATTGCGTATGATTGTAAACACTGTGTGTAAGTCACACCCACCGTGGCTTTGTGGCAGCAGAACCCCCCCGGTCTCCATTGGGGTCCGCTGCTGATAAAGCTGGACTTTGAGCACTGACGGACCTCGGGCTGTGTGCTGTGTGCTGTGTGTGCTCTGGGTGTTTCTTTGAATACACTATGTGGGGCATTTGCAGCAGAACGATGGTAAGTTAAAGCGCCTTTCAATTAGCGGACGGCGCTCGTTTAACCTTAACACTGGTCAGAAGCCAACTTTAGCTCTAAAATGGATTGCTTTGATATTGTTGTCTATTGCCGGAGACGTGACAAAGCATTTGAGACAGTTCATAGTGATTTATCAGTTACCAATAGCTAGCTATGTGGTGAAGGGTTGCTGTTAGCAAAGTTAGCTAGTTTATGTTAGTTCGTTAGGAACTGAAGAAGCTAACTAGCGGTTAGCTAGCTAACTGGGTCAAAGGTGATTCAGTGCTCAGTTCAGACAGTGAGACACAATCACATAAGGAAAGCTCGACACTGTTAATTACGTTAAGACTTCCGCTAAGTGACGGTCTCTTTTACAGTTAACGTTAGAGAGACATGGAGACAATATAACATTAAAGTTACTCATCATCAAACTCACTTTATAATTTGACAAAGGCACCTGCTTGGAGGAACATGTGTGAATATGTCATTTGACATCAAGACAAACAATGTCAGTGTGGCTCCGTGTCCTCTGGGTGACAGATCTCCCTCAGTTCTATCTTCAGCCTGTGACAACAGTAACATGCTACTGGAGACATTTTCATCTTCTTTTTGTTCCTGACCATCACATTCTTAAGAAGAGAATGACTCCTCAATATTAGTCGCACATGCATTGGGAAGCAAATATTGTTGATGTTTGTTTCACCAACGCTATTTACTTCTTAGTAACGTTACTGTTGTTGACATATTTCTCCTTGCTGTAGTCCAGTTGGAAATGAGTGCAGACTGCCCTCTACCGGCGATGTGTGTTAGTGAACTGCTACCAAACACTGCACCTCAGTTGGATTTAGACCAGGAACAGCTGATAGCAGAAACCACTGGCAACTGATTCTGGTGTACACCCAAAGTTGGGATACAATTACAGTTACTAAATAATAACTAAATAAGTTTCAATAATAATTACCTGTTTAAAATGTTTTGTCAGTAACCTAATCCAAGTATCTCAACATTAAAGTAACGTAATTTGATTACGTTCACTTATTTTGGGATTAACTCAACAGCAAATAAACACGAGAAAGGAAATGTCAAAAAGGAGTATTAGTGCAAGTTTATTCTATGAGTCAACAGAAGCATCAAAAACATGCTCTGCTCAGTGTATTTTAAAGAAAAACTGATGTATTTTATAATTGTCTGATTTAAGATTTAGAAGAATAATGCTATTATAGGGCAGACTCAGCCAGTTATTTTTTACAGTTGACTGGGCAAATAACAACAACACACTATTTGAATGATCATCTATCTATCTATCTATCTATCTATCTATCTATAAAGCAAGAAATCTCTGTCTGTCTGTGTGTGTGTGTGTGTGTGTGTGTGTGTGTGTGTCTGTGTGTG